AATCTCTGGAAAACTACACTTCAGTATAGGACTGTACATGGGACTGTAATAGCTGGTTGTTAAATGTTTTAAAAAATATGATTATTTTCACCAATGCTTTTCTATTACAGGTGTGTTCTTGTAGAAGCTTCCGTGGATTTTTGTTATGTGCAATCGAGGAGCATATTGGTGAAGTGCAACACTGAAGCTTTCTTATTTTATAATCTCAATGCTTTCAACTTTCAATAAGCATTTATTTAACTGCTATGTTATGTGAGATGCGATGAAAATGTAAGAAAGAAGTTAATGAATCCAGGCCAAATTGACTTATTTGAACAACTACTAAATTATGCACTAAAGTTTTAAAAAATACAAATAAAAAAGAAACTTCTGGAGTTGTTTAGGCTAAACTTAGACTGTATGTCTTCTGATATTTACTTATTAATGTACTAAACATTGCATATGATGTCACTTACTAAATCAAATTTTCATGCTTTAGAAGCCTTTAAAAATGACTCTTCCAGAAACTTTTTCAAGAACTTATTTCTTAAGTTTTATATTTTTTGCAATAAAACAAAAAGAAAATAAGAAATAAGACTTCGGATGTCTTAATTTTTGTCTCCTTAAGTCCTTTTCTCTTAAATTAGTTATGCATATATTTGAATATAAGATAGTACGTCTTTTATTTTTAATTTATTGTTCTTATGCTTAATTTGCTAAAATAAAACATGAATCTAAGCAAAAATGGCATACTCAGAAAGACTAAGGCAACTAGAGCAAAAATTAAATATTAATTTGGGTATTTATAAAGTCTTCAGGCTTGGGTTGCTTTATTTTTCTAGATGTAATAAAAATTCAAAATTACTTAATAATCTTCAAAAATATTTAAAATATTGTTACTACATTAAAGCCCTACTTTCTACAGATGACCATGTATTCTTAAACAAATAAATTCTTTTTGAAGTGATTCTATTTCCTTATGTTTTGTACTTTTTCCAACAGATTAATCAATTTTAATTTTTCAACTCCTTGCCTAAATTTGAGGACTCCTTTCATGTTTAGAGTTTAACACTATAGGTGGATAAAAAGTAATATATACAATGACTCTCCATTCAGTTGTCTTCAACGAAAGTGATGCATTTGCATAAGCAATTGTTTAGTACATTAATCCTTCTGTTAAACTACATGTAAGTCTGAGAGAACATTTTTATATTCTGCTGATGCTGTAATAAATGAGCCAACATAATACTATTGGTTACAACTTCCAGCATTTTTGTCTACAATAAAGTTAAGATCTTGGTGGTTAGTCTTACATTCTTCCTGCAAATTAAAATTGGAGTACTGTAATTAGTCCCCCCCAAATTAAATTGCCACAGCTACCAATAATGGAACAAAAGCTAAATTATATTACTTTGAGATCAACAACAGGTTCAGATGAACTGTTTTCTTCCGTGTATCTTCTGCTTTTAAAGAAAAATACAGTTTTCTTCCTACCGCAGAAGTATCAGATTCCTGCAGCATCCATGACACTTGTAAGCATTTAGTGGTCAGACGCCACTACATATCCTTCAAATGATATGGCCCAGTGAAGCTGGAAGGTGTCATCACCGAGCCAGGCAGCCTGGTATCTCAGCCATCCACCAGGACAGAACCAGCAGGCCCCAGCTGGTATGCGGAATCCAGACAAAAGTGGAAAATGGATTTTGCATTTTGAAAGTCAACCGTTCTAATACTGAGCCCTAGAACGTACTTATTAAGCACAAGTACATTGAGGGCTTCAGAAATTCTTTATAAGATCAAATTTGTAATGCTCATACCCCAAAATCACTCTTAAAACAAGTTAAGCCTTAATCTTATTATCCCTCTGGGTTTCTGAGTTTCTATTAGATTTTACATGTTTTCAAAAATACAAATAAATGTATGTTCAGGACTATAACTGTGTTGTTTGAATTCCTGAATATGTATATATATTCCTGAATATGTATAATATATGCTAAGTTAAGTATACTCGTAAGTTATTTGAAAGTGATAAAAGTTAAGAACAGAATATTAATCACCAGTGCCCATTGGCGTGGTGACATTTGCCCACTACACTAAGTTTCGATCTTTAGGCAAATGAAAAACTCTTACAAAATAAAAGCACATTCCATGTTCTTCTTCACACCTGGACTCCTGTGCTCACTATTCAACACACAAGGGATTGAATTCTTGCTTGTGCTATTGTCCTACTGTCATTTATTGACACAATTCATTAACTCATCTCTCACAAAAGAGTACAAAATCAACTTAGAAGGTTTCTAAGTCTAAGGTTTCCCATAACTCTGTGGGCCTCACCTGAACACCAGTGCTGTACAGAATATCTTCCTTTTCTTACATTTCTACCTGGGTCTAGTAGAAACATCATGACTAAAAAATAAATATTTAATTCCACAAAGCTGCATGAAATGGCCCCCCTTCCCCACTTTAGACATCCTTCTGAATGGGAAAATGCCATGATGGATTTTTAAACCATGTAACACTCCAGTGGATTAGGCTGGGGTAGCCTGGCATCTGAAATCGTGATGTTTTATCATGAGACACTGAGAAGATACTGCTTCTCTTTTTTAAAAAGAGAAAGAAACGCTCTGCTAGGGCTCATTAAAAGGGGTTTTAAGATTGGACCCAATAAAACAGGACTGTCGATTCCAAAGTTTAAAAAAAAAATCTGTCACATTTTAAAAAGTCATCATTTCCCTCTCCCCTCTGACATGAAACCCTATTTGCAGCACACACAGACACATTCCAGAGAGCGACAGCAAGTCCCCAACTTCTTTGTGACTTCAGAGCTGGCACAAGGACCTAACTGGAGAGGCAGAAGACTCCCCTCCTCCCAGTTTTCAGCAGCGCTCCCCTTCGAGCTGGGAGCTGCTAGGCATGATTCACTCTGACACCCTGAAACCTCTTGCTTTGCTCCCTTTTAAAAGTGAAAAAGAAAGGCTTTCCACAAGACAGAAAGTTTGCCTGGGTCTGTGATGCCAGAATTTCCGATAGTGGCCCTAATAGACAAAAGGTTTGGGAGCTCTAACTTCCAAAGGGAGCAGCAGACTCAGTAGTCACTAAACACAACAACAACAACAACAACAACAACAACAACAACAACAACAGACCTTGAGTGCCTGACAGAAAGAATGAAAGCTCTCCTCGTGGAGCGTCGCCAGGGCGTTCCTGCTCACCCAAGGCAGGAAAGAGGTGGAGTGGGGTGGGACTTGTCATTGCAGAATCCTTTTCCTCAAGGAAGTTCATTTTGAGATTTGGAGGGAGGACTGCTTAGAGAAGGTTCCCGAGCGGCACTGGGAACTGCCCCGGCCTTTGGCCCCACCTGCCTGTCAGTTTCAGCCCCTATTTCTCGCTCTGGGGATGTTGGGAACGTGGGCTTTCCAGCGCTCAGGGATGCTGTTAGGCCACTTTCCTGTTGACCTTTCGGAGACTCCGAAATCAACTTTCCCCACACAGTCTGAATTGTTTGTTTGCGTTTGTTTTCAGCTCGCCAGAGCCTCCCGCGCAGTCCACCCCTCTCCCCACTCCTCTCTGCCCCCCCCCCCTCCCCCCGGCCTTTCCTGCCCCCCCCCCCGCCAACCCCCGCCCTCCTCTTTGTTGTCTCCTACCTGCTGGCCAGGCTCTGCCTGCAGTGCTGCCTGAAGGGCATCAGGTGGTAGTTCATGGCGTCCAGCAGCAGCTTCTGGCAGACCGGGTCGGTGCGCATGAAATCCACTGACTGGACCCGCTCCACCAGCTCCGGGGCCGGGATGAGCGCGAAGCGGAGGCGCTTCATGAGGTCGGGCGCGTACTGCATGCGGGTCTCGCGGTCGTGCTCCAGCCACAGCACGGACATCTGGAAGAGCGCCAGCTCCGACTCCACGGGGGGCGGCAACGAGTCCAGCAGGGCGCGCATCTCCTCGAAGTTGAGCAGCAGCACATCCTCCACCAGGTACTTGTTGGCCAGCTTCTTGGTCTCCTCCAGGCCGTGCAGCGCAGCGATCTTGCACACCTGCTTGTAGTTCTGTACGGAGATCTGGTCGTTGAGGAACTGCACGCAGAGCTTGGTGACCTGGGGGATGTGCAAGATCTTGCTGACCGACAGCACCTCCTCCACCGTGTCCAGGGAGAGGGTCACGTTGGCCGTGTAGAGGTACTCGAGCACCAGGCGCAGCCCGATGGACGAACAGCCCTGCAGCACCAGGTTGTTGATGGCCCGAGGACTGGTCAGCAGCTTGTCGTCGGGGGAGGAGGAAGGAGTCCCGGGCTCCTCCTGCGGCGGCGGCTGCTGCTGCTGTGGCGGCTGCTGCTGCGGCTGCTGCTGCTGCTGCTGGTCCTTGGGGGCCCCCAGGCCGTCCTGGCCGCCGACCCCTCCCCCGAGAGGGGGGTGGCTGGAGAAGAGCGATCGGAAGTACTGCGAGCAGGAGGCCAGCACGGCCTTGTGGCAGTGGAACTGCTGGCCCTGGGCCGTCAGGGTCACGTCGCAAAACAGCTGCTTCCTCCACAGCAGGTTGAGGCCGTGCAGCAGGTTGTCGCTGTGGCTGGGGTCGAAGGTGGAGGTCCTGTCCCCGGATCTGGACATGGCGAGCTGACTCGGCGCACCTGGCTTTAAACCCTCCTCCAACCTGGCAGACGGGTGGGGGATGGGAGGGAGGGGTGAAGGGTAGTGGAGGGGGTGGGGTGTGGTCGGGGTGGGGAAGGGTGTGGAGGGGAGGGGAGGGCGAAGAACAACAATCAGTGTTCAGCTTGGCTCCTGCCCAGCGCGCCCCAGGACCCCGACCCTAGGAGTAAGGTCTGAAGGCGCTGAATCCGTGAGCGCCACCAAAAGGGCCCAGTCTGGGGTCGGGGCGCCGGTTCAGCTCCGTGCTACTCCTCTCGCCACCGCCCACACACTTCGCCCCTCACTTTCCTAAAACCACCCTGGCTCGGCTCTTGGCAGCGACAGGGGTGGCAGCAGCGACGGCAAAGTGGCGGCGGAGGCCGAGACACCTCGTGGGCTTGTGTCCATGCCGGGCCTGAGAAAGGGAAAGGCCAGGGAGTGGGGAGCCAGGGCTTCCCGGAGAGCGCAGAGGCGACCGTCGGCAGAGGTTCCAGGTCAACTTGTGCCTGCAGCTTTGCTTTTCGCAGTTGGTCCAGTTTGGGGGGTAGGAAAGGGGACCCGACAAGCGTGCGGGTGGGCGATTCTTAGCTCTCCAAAAGCTGGGAACCCCTTCGATTATCCGTGCTGCCCCGAGAAACTCCTAGGCTAATAGTCTGAGGTAGCAGATAAAGCCCTTTCTTCTCCCGGGAAAGTGCAGTGGAGCGCGGTGAGGACCAGCTCAGTGGACTCGGCAGAGGCGGGAGCTGTCCTTATCAATTCTAGCTCATTTCCCTCACCCCGGCCCTGCCTGCTTGCCTGCTTCGCAAACTGTTGGCTTCCCCGTCACCACTCAGTTTTGCTAATTTTCCAGAGACGCCTTTAAACCTGGCAGGAGAATCCTTTCGACCCCCCACCCCCGACCCCCTCTCTCCCGCCCCCCGCATTTCAAAGCGCGGAAGTTCAGACGTGTATCTCCCCTTCTCTCGCGGGGTGGCACCGGGGAGACGAGGAGGGAGGAAGTGGGGCCACTGGGGTGGATTTAGAGCAGGACCCCAGAGGCCCGGAGGGATTCACGTGAAAGGTTCTGTCTCCAAGGCACCAGGAACAGTGGCTTTAACTCCAGTAACTGTGAGAAGTTCAAGTTAACTGGCAGGTGTTGGGGGAGGGGGTGGGGGCTGTCCACTGGAGGGGGGAGGGGTAGGTTCCGTGCAGGGTGTCTGCATCCCACCCAGCATCTCCGCGTGAAGCCTCAGCTTCCCCACGAGCCCCTCGGTAAAACCCCCAGCGACCCCCCACTCGGGCACCCCCACTCCCCTGGCCCTGGAACTACTTCTGTAAAAAAAGTCTGAACCGCCCGCATCTAGGCGGAGGACGGCAGGATGGGGGGGAGGCTAGGCGAAATCGATACGCCAGGTCCTTAACCTGTAATTGCACCTTCCAGGGCCGAGCAGAAAGGGACCCTCTGCCCACATCCCGCCCGCGCGCCCGCCCGCCCGGGAGAGCCGCCGCCGCCGCCGCCGCCGCCGCCGCTCGGCTCCGAGGGATCCCGCCGGACCTGCCCCTTCCACTGCGGCTCACTCTGCCCTGCCTGGCGCCAGTCCTGGATCGCCGGTTTCCTATTTATACCACACTGGGCTCCTCTCGACTCACTTTACCATCCTGTTCCAGGTGGACCCTAACCTCCCTCGAGCTCCCTCCCTCGGCAGGACCCCCTCCCCCACCGGCCCCCAAAGATCTGGGTTTCCTGAAACATCTCCCAGAGTCTCTCCCTTTAAGTGGACCCGGTCATACCTCTCTCTCGCTTTCCCCGCTTCGTTGTCTCGCTCCCCCCCCCCCCATCTTTTCCTGTTCCCCTTCCTTCTTGTTCTCCTCCTTTGCCTTTCCCCCTCATCTGCTTATTTCTTGCAATAGGAGTTTTATTCTTTATGAGCGTTTGCCAGGCAACTAACCGCCCCCCCCCCAAGACTCCCTCCCCATCCCTTCCCCCGCCAACAACCCAAAAGACAGAACAAAATACACGCAAGGCAGACACAAGGCCAGAAACTTACCTGCTTTCAACCAGCTGCAAAGTCAAGGCTCACTTAAGCTCCCCCCCAAAAATCAATTGTCCTTCCTTTTTAAAGGTTTGCTCTCTCCTTGGGAGGGGGAAAACACCTTCTGGTTCCCAACTCCAGGCAGTCACTCTTTACAATTTATTTTGTCGTACATCATTTGATCACCATGAATTAGCAACAGCAAGAAAATGTAGGAGAGGGAGAAAAGAGAGAAAGAGAGAGGGAGAGAGAGGGAGAGAGAGGGAGAGAGAGAGAGGGAGCAGAGCTTTCTGCAAGAGAAGAAGAAGAAAAAATGTACGTGTGACAAATTATGCTACCAAGAAACAACACATCATTATCCTTGGGCCTGGGGCTCAGTGAGTCGTAACGAGAGTAATAGGAAATCCACGGTTGGGGAGAGAAACGGTCGTGCTTGGCCAGTAGAGAGAGACCATACAGGGGGATGGATGCTGGAGAGACTCGCAAAATTATGGCTCAAGGCTATTGTAAAAATTGTCGAGCGTAAATGACTGCGATTTCCAACATCTTTGGAAGAAAGAAGGGGAAAAAGCGAGCCCCCCCTCCCTCCCTCTCCCTCTCTCTCCCTCTCTCTTCTCTCTCTCTATAAAGAACCGTCAAGTTTTAGTGCGCATTGCTAATTAGTCAATTTCTCTCTGCCTTCACAGGCTGGCGACTTCGCTGCTGAGCTGAAACTGCTAATTTCTGTGACCAGCTTTTTTCTTAGCTGTGATCTGGATGAATGAGTAGCTGTCTCACAGAGATGACAAAAATAAACTCTAATCCCCCCCCAAATTTCCACTACATCTTTCTCATGCATAGATTTATGATCTGCAAGCGCTCTGTGCAATATGCAAACTTTTTGTGTGTGTCTGTATATATGCTGTTGTTTCCAGATTTCACTACATTGGTATGCTGCTTCCTCCCCCCACACCATGAAATGCAGAAAACGCCTGATCTCAAAGTATGCCAAGATGCCACTTTCTAGTGTCTTGGTATTTGGGGTTTGAGTCTAATTTGGAAGACACTAGCCCTTGCCTAAAAGGTGAGTGGCTGAGTGTACAAACTGGGGGTGGGGGAATTAGAGCTGGTAGAGGGAACAGAGGACAGCCCTTTGCTTTACATCTGTTTCCCTGCACTATTCAAGCCTTGTGATCTTGTTGGAAAATATATTTTCCCTATCATTTTGTCTGGTTAAACAACCATCTCCAAACTCCTATGTCAGCTCTTCAACAGATACGGGTTCAGAAGTCATATTTTTATTTAATTGAAAGATGATCATATTGTCAGCTTTGTCTTTCAATTAAGAGTCTTTGATTTGCAGGAGCTAGAATCAAGTGATAGGAAATCCAGCTGCAATTTCACAAATGTCACCTTTAAACTTTGGACTTCATCTGATATATAAGGATGACCACATAAAGCTCACGTTTTTGACCCTGCTTAGCATGCAAAATGAACCCCCAAACGATTCTGGAATTTTCACTGTACCAAAGATTCATGTGCATTTTGGTAGAGGACATGTTCTCTGGACTTATCTCATGATGTATTGCGCCCTTACATTTATAGCCCTACATTTCGGTTGTCAATGGGGGTTGGAGGTGTCCAAGAAAGAAAGAAAGAAAAAAAGCAAAAAAAGGAAGACATGCCCTTGAATAAAATGAACATGAAAGAAAGCTGGACATGAGTTAAATTGAGTTTTCTTTGCTATTAAATATATGAATATGATTCATTCTAATTTATATGTGCTCTGATCAGTAAACTTATTAAAATACACATCAGGGCACCACTGAAAGGCTGTCTTCTCACCTTCCCTTTTGATTTGTGAGATATGGAAAGACACCTGCTTAAGAGAGGGGAAGAAAACTGAAAATTCTTTGGTTTAGAAATAGGGAATTCCCCATTTAGAATAATAAACATTAACATGCATGTGGGATATTTGCTCTTAAATAAATGAAGAAGGATTGAACTGAAGCATTTACTCTTCACAAAGGCCCTTCTCTATCAAGGTCCTAGGTTATCTGAGAGTAAGATACCTTATTCAGATCTTGCAGAGATGCTGCATTTCACATTTCATATTTATAACACAAAGCTCAAATACATGGTAAAATAATAGAAAAGGATTTTTTTTTTTTTTTTTTTTAGAGCAGGGAAAAGAAAGGGAACAGATTATCCAAATCTTCTGGCCCTACTATTTGTTTTGAATTTTTCCTTCTTTGAATTTTCCTTTCTTATTTAGGTCTTGAACAGGAAGATTGTGTAATTGTGACATAGTGTCTTTCGGGGGGTTCTGTGCATTAGCAATGAAAGCTATCAAGTACATGCAGTATCACCAAATTCTCGTACACTAACTGTATAATTTGTATAATATGCCTTTGATGTTTACCTATTATGAACTTCCAGTGAAGTATTTGGAACTAAATCCAAAGATGAATAAGAGTATTGATCTCTTAAACTATTGCCATCTTTCCATGTTCTCATAAAGGAAGTAAGATGTGCTGTGAGATCTCAAAATATCTTGATTTTGAATTTCTTTTTTTTTTTTTACTAATAGGCTATATTGATCACTAATTACGACTATGAGGACCTTTGTTGCTCCCAAACAACATGAAATGCACATTTTAAGAATTTTAACTATAATTTTGATGCTTATTTAACAATGAGAGTGGAAGGGGAAGAGAAGGGTTGGGTTGGGGTCTTGCAATTCTTAAAACAGCTGTTGCAAGGAAGTGGCTAGGCTGTTTCTCCTGGGTTTTAAAGTTACACTACATGAGAATGTTTAAGATTTCAGAGAAAAAAATGACAATTACGGCTATTTTGTAAGCAACTAAAAATAACATTGATGATTAAAAATCCCTTCATAATCTATGTGTAAACCGGTGTATAAATCATGTAAGTCTCACACCTCCAATATCTTGCACTGGCTTTGACTGAAATTATTGCAGAACTCACAAATGATATGACACTATTTACAATAAATCCCGTTATGAAAGATTCAATTTGCAGCAATCAGATGCTAGCTACTAAGCGATTGTAAGTATTTGAATTTTATCCTACTTCACTGTTCAACATACAGAAATTGCATCTGTGTGTTTGATCTGTCCTGCTGAGCACTATCAGCAGCTTGCATCTCTGCCACTATTGTTTTTAAAATGGCAGGAAGGACGTGACTAGTGAAGAGCACTCAGCAGGACGGATTGCACATGGCATAAGAGAAGCCCGAATTGTCTTAGAAAAAAGCTAAATAGGATCCTGTAGTCGTCTAATTCAAGCAGTCTTCATACTTCGACAGAATTATCAAAATTATTCATCAGTGAATCTGCATTTAAACTATGTACAGTGGAGAGATTCTGGAACTGCTGCCACTGAGCATTCTACTTGAGCTTTGGCTCGAAGCTTATCTGGTCAGCCCTCCCCGGTGGCAGGGACCCAGGGGAGATCAGTGGCTCTGGTATCTCAGGACCACCTCACTGGACTGGATGAACTTCAGATTATCTTCAGAACAGTTCCAGAAGGGTTTTTTTCTGCTTCACGTAAAGGGGCAGCCACGCTGAAACTTTATTTTCCTCGTTCTTGACTTGTCTGCTTTAAGATTTAGGAGTGACCACCAAATTATAGAAACACCAACGCCCGACCTGTCCCGTGTTGCTCTTGGTCAGTAAACACTACTTCCTGTGGGCTGACCTTCATGGTGCTTACCTTTGTAAAATGGATGAAGGGAGGAATTATTCCATTTTACAATAAAATTGAGCAAAGAAGGACCCCCTAGATCCCCAAAGCCAGGGAGTGGCAGAACCAAGAGAAAAATGATAGGTTTTCTACTTGGGTAGGCATGGCCAGAAATATCGCAAAACCAGCAGCTTCAGGAAGCTTCTGGAAGAACAAAAAGTCTGAAATAACAGTAAAAGATAAGAAATGGTACAATTGGCTAGCATCTAGTCAAAGCCAATGATTTACTCTTGTCCCAGGGTCAAATCAAAGTCCTTGGCCAGTACTCCAGGTACTGTTGTAGCTCTTCTGGGAAGTCCGTTGTCTGCTTTCTGAAATACACCCCACTCTCACAGCACATCTTTATGTTGTATCCTTAGGAGAGGCCTTGGTTTTCTACCTAGAGAAATCCCACCTAAACTCAGACTAAACTCAGATTTGTTTCCACTTTGAAACTCTTCTTGGCAACTAGGGACAGAATAACCATAGCTAAATTTTATTGAACTCATTACTTGTTTGGTGGACACTAGCCTAAATCCTTTAGATGTTTGTTTTCTTAATCTTTTTGCTAATCCTGTGAGAGAGTATGGTAGATTGTAAAAATGGAGCCAACTTTCTATACTTCGGGATATAAATACCCCATTATAAAGAGGCTCTGCTGTTCTCCCTGTAAGAGCGGAGTCTACCTTCCCACCCTTTGAAAGTGAGCTGGCCTTGTCCCTTGTTTATCAATAGAATGTGCCAGAAGGAACTTTGTGCCAGTTCCAGGTCTGAGCCTCAAAAGGCCTTGTATGCCTCAGATTCCCCTCTTTGAGTCCTGTCCACACCCATATAAAAAAGCCCAGGTTAGCCTGGTGACAGATGAGAAACCACATGATCCCAGCTGACCTAGGATGTAGGAATGGGCCCAGCTGGGACAGAAGAACCAATGTAGCTCAAATTTAGTAACACGCAGAGCTCTAAGTGAAATAAATGGCTGTTGTTTCGAGCCATTAATTTTGGGGGTGTCTTGTTCCCCCGAAATTAGCCAATAAAGAAAGGTACCTTTATTCTAATCTTACCAACGAACAAAATGAAGTGCAGAGAAATCAGGTAAAATTTTCAGGGCCACACAGCTTTTCCAAGATAGAGCTAAGATCCAGACTAATACAACCTGACTCCAGAGATGAACCATTCAGCTACACTAGCCACGAAAGAAGTGCCTGCCTTCTGTGAACTTCATTCATTTATTCATCAACCATATGTAAGGTATTATTACATCCCAGACAACGTGCTAAACGTGGAAGATATGATGATGAGTAAAACTGCATTCTTGCCCTCAAGGGGCTAACATTCTAATGGAGGAGACAGGCAGGTAAATTAGACACAGCATGTGAATAATTACGGTGTGATAATTGCTCTAATAAGAGTATGTGTAATGAACTACTGGAGTGGAAAGAACAGGCTTCTAACTCCCTTATAGTACTTATTACCTGTAATACTCTTTTGACATTTATTGTTTTCCACTTTCTATGTTGTTTTTTATGTTTGTTTCTTATTTAGGTCAATATATTTTTGATCTCAGCTAGATTATAAGCTTCTGGAAGAGAAAAAAACTAGTATCTGATAAAATCTCCCATGGTCCACAGCTCTGTACCTTGCTCAAAACAATTACTCAATAAATATATTGATGGACAATGAAAGATGAATTTTCAAATTTTTCAGGGTAACGTCAGAACGAACAAGGGCGTATTTCATAATCAGGGACTGTGTTAGGCATTCAAACATGTGGCCTTACTCAATCTCTTGATTTTACTGAGCTACTGTCTAAAAATTAAAAAAAAATCTTTTCAACATTGTGAAATAAACATTTATTTCATAGCACATTGATAAGAGTCTGATAGGACCTCATGAAAGTTTCCCTCAAATCCTTCACCTATGGCAATCATCATTCAGCAAAGTGCTCTAAAAGTTTGAAGGGAATAGTTACTTTTATGGAAATACTGATTTAACTACTAAACCAAGGTAGCACAAAGTTGTGTTTCTAAGCCTGCATTCGGGAAGCAGACCACTTACATTTGAATCCTAGCTTTGCCACTTTCCATCTTTGCAACTTTGGGTAAATAACATTTCTCTGCCCAGTTTCCACATTCAAGAATGAGGATAATTATAGTACCTGCCTCCTAGGATTTTATAATGCTTAAATTTTGTCAATATTCCTAAAAGTGTTTAGAACAGTTCTAGACATATAGCAAGAGCCATGTGAATGTTTGTTAAATAAAAAATACACGTATGTAGCTAAAGACTTCTTAGTGTACCCTTTATTCTTTCTTTTCTGCACACTAGGCCCAGAACCCAACAAATATGGGATAGAAGGAATAAAGACATCTGCTTTTCTCAGGTTTGCAATAATTCATAATTCTATTCCAGAAAAAATGGGTTGCTTTAACAAAAGAAGAACCATTATTTTTGACTTTATTCTTTCAATGTTTTATGTTTTAGTTTGTTTTCCTATAGTTTTAAAAACCACCATTCTTTTATCTTTGGGAACATTGGTGTTCTATGTACATGTCTTAAGGAATTGAGATTCTAAAAATGTAAGGTCATTTATTATTAGTAATAGTTTGATGATAGTTTGTTGAATATATGCTTGACTCTGAAAAGTGGCTTTTTGGCAATAGGCCTTCATGCCAATGACTGAGATGAGAGAGGAGGTCGTTGGGCTTCAGCTCCTTCTTTGACATTATCTGTGACCCTGGACAAATCACTTTTATTCTCCAGGTCTCAGTTTTCCCATATTTGGAAAGAGCATTTCCTTCACTGAACTAGTGTGGGGCTGCATTGAGATAAAACTAAAGTGAATGCTCCTCAGAGAACAGTTGGGAACTTTTCTTCATGACTTGAGGAATAAGATGAAGGTTTAAGTAATACAAGAAGAAAACAACCCTATCCCTGAAAGCTGCCCAGAAGTTTGAGGCCAGAGTATTTACCAA